CCTCAGGGTGTCCCCTAATGCCACCAGAACAGCCCCTTCCTTCTCCAATTCCACCCAGTTAGCCCAGCCAATCTCTTACCAAAGGGTGTCCTGCTCCTCCCACAACCCCTCCATGCCACCCTCCCTGTGCCCCTCATCCCACCCTACCTATATAGTGCTGGACCAGCTGCTGGACAGTGTCAAACTGGGCGCGGGTGGTGATGTAGTACCCCCCATTATCCAGTTTCCGAATCTTATAGTGCTTCACGTGGTCTCCCTTGGCCTCATCCCAGTCCCGGATGGAGAGGGAGTAGGCACCTACATGGTGGCACAGGTCAGGGAGGGACATGGGGTGCACTCCCCAGTGTCCCTGTCCCTGTGCCTGTACCTTTGGTTGTCTCACTCTCACGGATGAGGAGGGTCCCCCTGCAGTTGCCAGGGCACAGGAGCTGCCGCTCTGCATCCTTGCGCCCAATCTTCCCAAAGTACCACCTGCCATGGTGATGGGCTCAGTGCCAGGAGGGCACCACTGAGGGGCACTCACAGGGAGCACCCAGGTCCAAGGGAGATGGGGTGTGGGTCTGCCTCAATCCCTGTCCACCCCTACTCACTCTTCTGCCTGGATGGAGTCCACAGGGGCCACGTAGTTGCTGGGGATGTATCCCGTGGCACCCGAGCTCAGTGACCTGGCCTCCCACCAGTCCCCTTCCCTGGGACAGAGGAACAGAGAGTGAGGAGGATGAGGATGGACAGACAGACAGACCTGGCTGTCCTGCACTTCCTCACCCTGCACACAGCACCCCCAAACTCTGCTCTCCCCCACCCAACTCAGGACACCCATGGCTCTTGCCCTCTGTGTACCCAGCAATAGAGCCAAGGCAGAGCTTGGATCCCCAGCCTGTGTCCTGCAGAGGGTACCCATGGCAAGAAGGCACCTCCCCAGAGTGTCATGGGCAGAGGACACAGAGGGGCTCACGTGTTATTGATGATGTGGAATTTCTCCCCTTTCTGGAATGTCAGGTCATCCTCCGTCCTGGCCTCATAGTCGTACAGGGCAATGAAGAGTGTCACCCCTCCACCTGCAGCACACAGAGGGGACCACAGTGAGTCCCCAGGTCTTCAGGGCTGCAGCTGGACCCTCTCCCCACCATCCAGCCCCCCACTGACCTGAGATGCCCCCACTCCTCATCTGCAGCGTGTTGGAGGCGAAGACCCCTGGCCCTGCGAAGGACAGAGCCGAGGACGCCGCCGGCCCCTGGAAGTTGTTGAAGTCGGGAATGCGAGTGAAGATGGCACTTGACTCTGTGGGGTCAGGGTCGTACTGGGAGGCAGAGGGTGAGAGGGCGCCCACCTCACACCCCACCTGCATTTTGCCAGACCCCTTCTCTTTGCAGGGCACACAGCCCATCCTGGGCACTGCCTGTGGGAGAGAGGGTCTGTGAGCCCTGTGCCCTCCCAGCAGGGCACACGTGTGTGCACACGTGGGTCTGGTTAGAGGCAGTGGGGTGCACCCCACCAGCCCCAGGAGGAGCAGGGTCCTGCCCCCACCCAGCACAGCACACTGGGTGACATGGGGACATCAGGGTCCCCTAATGGGCACTGCCACTGCTGTGCTGCCCAGGGGCATCCCCCTGGCACCCGTGGGTGCTCCACGGTGACTCCACTCACTGCGACAGCTCCTCGTGTCACTTCAGCTGCTCCATGTCACCTCGGGGAGGAGAAGAGGCACCTGTGGACACCGGGGAGGGTGTCAGGTGGAGAGCAATAGCCTTGCAAGGGCTGCAGCACCCCTCTAAAGGCTGTAAAACTCCTGCCATGGGCTAAAATAGCCCTGCACAGGCTGTAACACCCCTGCATGGGTTGAAACACCCCTGTCGTGGGTTAAAATATCCCTATCCAGGATGCAACACTTGCATGGGCTGAAACATTCCTGCCAAGGGCTAAAATACCCCTGTATCAGCTGAAACACCCCTGCCAGGGCTGAGACACCTCTGCATGGGTTGAAATACCCCTGCATAGGTTGCACTACCCTTGCATAGGTGACAATACTCCTGAACAGGACCCAACACCCCTGCCATGGGCTATAACACCCCTGCACAGGCAACACCACCACTTGCATGGGATGCAACACCCCTTGCATGGGCTGTTACACCCTTGCACAGGCTGCAACACCCCTAGATGGTTTGCAACATCCCCTGCATGGCCTGAAACACCCTTGCATGGACTGGAGTACCCCTGCATGGGCTGTAATAGCCCTGCACGAGCTAAAACACCCCTGCAAGGGCTGCAACGCCCCTGCATGGACAGCAACATCCCTTCAGAGTCTGCAACACCCCTGCATGAGCTAAAACACCCCACACAGGCTGCAACACCCCTGCATGGGCTGAAACCACATCCTTGAGCGGGTGTTTTTTCACACCATGTCCTCACCGCACCGCTCACCTCCCTTCAAGGGCAGCTGTGGGACGCAGCTGCCCTGAGGCTGGAGGGAGCCAGGCTGGGTAGGAAGGAGCCCCTGCAGTGTCCCTACACCCTCTGCTCAGTAGTGAGTGGGTGTTTCAGGGAGGAAGGTCCCTGCTCGCCTCGCTGCGGTCAGGACGTGTTCTTCCGGCCACACGCAGTGCAAAGGTGACACAGAGGAGGAGGAGGAGGAAATTGGACCTCTCCTGCCATGGCTGCAAGGAGACAGTCTGTCCCCAGCCCTGTCATTTCCCTGGGTGCTGACCACCCAGGCACACCAGTCTGTCCAGTTTGGACTAGGCAGAGTTTTCCACTGTTTTCCTGCGATATTGCAGAGCCCACTCTGTCGCCAGTGAGAGGAAGGTATCCTGTGCTCCAACAAGAAGGAGACAGAGGTTTTGGGGTGGATGAGAGGTTTCAGGCACGTTTCCCCCACCATGGTCATTGATTCCCTTTTCTCTCAGTAGAGGAGGAAAGAGCCCAGCTCTCCCCTTCCCCCTCTGCTTTCAACACTGGTGGTGTGGCAAGGCCACGGCCGTTGCCGATGGGGCAGTATTGCCAAATCTCAGCTGGTCGGGGATTTTATTCTTGCTGACAATTAGTGGCTATTTCAGCTGACTAATATCCCTGGCTTTCACAAACCCTGTCCCCTCTGGATGGGAATCACCGACTCACTGCACTCAGAAACTTCCCATTTTGCCCAATTTCAGCACTTAGAGGGCAGTGGAGCTGCCACGGCTGCCAGCAGGGATGGGGCTGAGCATCTTCCAGGCAACCACAAACAATCAAGGGTTAGGTGCCATGTAGCAGTGTTGCACCCAGGTTTCCCCTTCCCTGGGCATCCCCTGAGCTGGTCCTAGGGTGGCACAGAGCTGTCCCCTGCGTTGTCCGTGGGGAGGGGACGCAGCTGGCGCCGTGTCCGATGGCTGTGCGCTGGCGTCTGGCCCCAGCTCTCCCAAAAAGGAGCTGCTCAGAGCCTGGGAGCAGATGGCAACTGAGCCCTTCCCACCCCAGCTCCACCTGCACCAGTCCTGGCCCTGCTGCCAGCTCCCGCCCTGTGCTGAGACCTGGCCAAATCGTCACCCCGGTCCCACTGGGCATGGCTGGGAATGGAGCAGCCACATCCCCTGGCTGCCCATCCATCTGCTCCCCACACTCCTGGGACACAGGGGAGCTCAGCCCCAACCCCAGCTCCAAAACCAGGGCACAATGTCCAGTGTCACCCTCGACTCCAAGGTACCCCAAGGGGACAGCTCCATCCCCTGCCTCTGCTCTTCCATAGGGAATACTGGTGATGGGAGGCCAGGCTACAGGGGATGCAGCCTCAAGGAGAGATCCAGGGCTGTTGGGAATGTCACACACACCCAGTGCTGTGGGAACATGCCACAGTGGCCAGGCTGAGGGTGCCTCCCAGGGCAGGGAGGCAGCTACCAGAGAAACCCACATGGCACGTACGAAGTGGGAAAAGGAAGCACAGGACCACGGCGTGGGGGAGGAGGGGAAGGACAAGGATGGTGCTGTGGCCACCAAGGGGAACCTCAGGACTGGCAGGACCCCAGGCCTTGGGGATGATGGCAGCTGTGGGGGCCAGGCAGGGACCACAGCCCTGGGTATCCTGTGCCCCTACATGTCTTGTCCCACCCCCCTTGCTCTGCACAGCCTTGTTGTGGCCTGGCACTCCAGTGGCTCTCACCGCAGGCTCCTGGGGAAGAGGAACCGAGAGGGCTGCACAGCCCAGCCCAGCAGCCAGCGGGGTTCCTCTGTCACCCCACAGCTCTGGAGCTCCCTGGTCCCAGGGGGAAACTGGAGCATGAAGTAGCTGCAGTGCAGAAGGGGAAGGTGCCTCATTTTAGGTGTGCCATTAGGACACACAACCCCAAGCTGTGTCCCCATCTCATGCCCAGGACCCAACAGACCTGGGGAGGGGATGAGAGGACACATCTGCCTCTCCACCACCTACTCCTCATCCTGGCACAGTGGCAGATGGTGGCATGTCCTTGCCCCTTCCCTGCTGTCCCCAGCCCCAAGTCCAGCCCTGAGATCAAGAGCTGGAGCCCTGCCCCTGCTCCAGTCCTCCCAGTTCACCCTGTGCCTGGTGAGTCCCCTGTGGCTCCCGGTGGGAGCAGGTTCCTCCAGAACAACGGGTGCAAGGAGGGCTGACAGTCCATCCCCTGCATGCCCACAAGCAGGACAGTGCTCAAACAAGGGTTGCTGCCCCCCAAAACCAGCTATGCTCTGGCCAGGCATGGCTAGTGGTCAGAGATGGCAGGGCCACTCCCAGGGCAGAAGAGGAAGGACTCATTGCCCCCCAAAAGTGATCTGCCCCACAAGCCCACCAGCCAGCAACCAGGCCCATGGCATGGAGGGTCCCCTTGTCCCCCTCTCTGGGAGGAGATGCCCAGGAGGGAGGGACCCCCCTGACCTCCCCCCTTTCCCCAGCCTTCCAGCCCCATCGCTGGCTGGAAAAGCAGGATTTCCGCTGGAAGAAGAGCAATTCCCGGATCCAAGTGGCTGTAGGGGTGGAGGGAGGGAGCCAGCCAGGGTTCCAAATACAATGTCCCGGGAGGAGTGGGGTGGGGAGGGAATTGTGCAGGGCAGGAAGCAGCAAGTTCCTGTCGCTCCTTGGGACACACCAAGGACTGGGGATGAGGCAGAGCTGCAGGGAGTGGGGGGAGAACTCACTCACTCTGACAGGGCCTGAGTCCCCTACATTTCCCTCAGCCCCAGGCAGGGAGGGCTCAGCCCCCAGCATCCCCCCAGAGCACTGGCTGGGCTGGAACCCCAAGGACACCTGCAGGGATGAGTGGCACAGGTGTCCCCCACCCAACACGGTGTCACTTGGGTTGCCATGACCTGTCTCCTCCCCAGGGTGGGGGTCCAGCCAGGCTGAAGGCACCATGTGCCTCTTCA